ATGAGGGAGGGAGGGAGGGAGGGAGGGAGGGAAGACAGGCTTCCAATCTTCCTCTTGGCAGTTACACATACAGTTCTCATTAAACCTCTCTAAGATTACATCATAATTCTTTTCTTTTCTTTTTTTTAATAGTTTTTATTCTGTCCCCTTCAGAGTTCCTGGTCTTGGACATCTGCCTACACTTAATGGTATTGTTACTAAGCCTCCTCCTACATTCCATCTCCATTAAGACTCCTACTCTACCTCTGGTTCAGAAGAAACGGTGACAGAGGAAAGAGATGTATAGAAAAATAAAAGTTTTTCTACAACTAAATTCCTTTTAGGAAAAAAAAAAATACTACCCTTAGTTATTTTCTACAGAATCCATAATAAAAAAGGGCCCAGACCACACTGACATATTACAATTATTTGATTATGTTTTTCCTATGCCATTTTATATTTATTAAATAATCTCTATTAGATATTAAGCTCCTTATTATTGGTGCAGCATATAAATAATTCAAGAGTTATATAAATTCTTATGGCAGGCATGAATTTTTAAACCCCAATTTGGTACTGAGCCAAGACCTCCTCATTTTAAAAGCTGGGGAGGGGAGATCCTGCTTTCTTTTAACAGAAAATAAATCCATGCGTGCTTGCATTTAACCAGCTACTGTTTATCTGAAGGAACGGTTTAAGTTATATCCAGGCTTAGGATGGAGTTAAAATGATGTGTTTTTCTGTTGTTGAAGTCTTTAAATCTTCAAGCCACTGGGAATGAAAGATTTTTTGAATGCTACTTTGCCTATTATTTCTAGTATGCAGCCACGTATGATTAAAATCCAGCCAGAGTGATCTCTGTTACTGGATGGATAGGCTGAATGTTCCAAACTATTGTTTATCAGTCATTCCTTCCAGAGAAGCCCATTTGCTTTGTGCTACTTACTATCCAATTATTTGGAACTTCTAGTAGTCCAAACGCGTTTGTGAATGTTAGTTTACTGGAGGGTTTTTGTGGCTGTTGTTCTATTTATTGAGCGGGAAGCAGTTTGAGCCACACTTCGCCTTTCAGCAGAAGTGTTCCTTTAGCTTTTCAGGCAGATTCTTTTATTACCTAATATGATGCTTCTGTCAGCCTTCCCAGGTAGACCAGACAGGAAACATGACCAGATGAGCTAATTCTACTTTATTGTAAGGCTATGTTAACAGAATCTTTCAAGTCTGAAAGTACAAATCTCCCACCGTCACTTTTACCCCCTGAGAAGTTAGGGAAGTTCCCTTTTCAGTCTCTTTCTCTTCCCATTATACAGCTGCAGGCTATGCTGTCTCTTATCTGATCGTTCCCTAGGTGGCATCTCTTCCCCCCATCTCCCAAGGTCATTCCCACATACCATTACAGATTCCCAGACCAATCCCTCAACTAATAAATGAGTTGCTTCTATGTCCTTTAGGTGGTCCTCTGTGTATTTACACTGATGGGACATTGCACCTGAAGTATACCTCTACTGAAATATTTTAAAGCTGACTGACTTTTGATGGAAGTAACCCCTGTATATTCCATTCAATTCCCCT